ACAAAATTGGCCTTTCTAGCTTTTGTGTTTTATTGGCAGAACAGGACTTGCTTTTGTGACAAAAGCTGTATTTACATTGTTATCTTAAAATATTTTGGAATGGGGCAGATACACTTAGACGTGGAAGGTCCTCTCCCTGAGAAATCGAAACTCACTTCCTCAGCAAGGGCACGTAATTTACGAAGAACTACAGGATTACTGAACCTGGGCTGGTTTTCTCCCAGGGAAGGGAAGTGATGGCTTATTTAGAAAACTTAATTCCAGGCACAAAAATGGAAAAATCTGGCATTTACACAAGCACAAGCAAAACAAGCTGAAGTTCTCAAAACACCATTTTTAAAATCGCTTACAAAATTACCAAAACGAGGAAAAACTTTCTCTGAAGGAATTAGATCAGTTCAGTGCTTTCTGAGACTGACCTACCAAGTTGATGTTTCTTGAAAAGTAGAAAATGTATTCAACCTTCTCACAAAACACTACTGCCTCTAGATTGATCAAAAATTTTGAATGGCTTCCGAACATCCCTCCACGGAAAGCCAAAGCAAAACACATGCACACATACACACCATCAACAAGAAAACAAAAACTAGTGCTGCCACTAAAGAGGAAACTTTTTTCTTTTATTTTTTATTTTTTGGTAAGAGCCATTAAAAATAAAATTTCTAGGAGAGTGATAAATTTTTAAAATTCCATGAAAAGAAATTCTGCTGAAATGCTATCTGTGGTTTTGGCTAGTTGTAAGTTCATCACAGGATGTTTTTTCATGCTCTAATAGAAAAATCACTTCTAACTTCAGTGCTACATTTAGATTAGAAAGCCATGATAACTTTCAACTTTTTTGTGGCCTTGGTTAAATAATTAACTGGTTAGTTGAATAGTTGAAAGGTAACAACATAAACAGTGACATATATGACTAAACCAATCGATTAGCTGCCTATATTTATATGTATATTAGTGGAGCAATTTTTGTGTAGAGAATAATAACTTATGGGAACACTTTAAAGTTTTCAAAGAAGCATCACATTTTTATTTGATAGCATATTTATTGTAATGATTAGCATGTGACTTTTCTCAAAAAAAAAAAAGGTATAATTTTATCGCTTAAATACCTATATAGATAGCACTTTCCCCTCACAGAATTTTCCATTATTTTACTATGATCTTTAATCACATATAGGAGGAGGGGGGCCTGCATAAATGTATAATGTGACACACTTGCAGACATAGGCAGATACTACACTTGATTAAAATAAAATCAAGCGCTTCCATGGATGCAATGATATTTACTTTATCTGACAGTAATTAGCTAAACTGTCTGGTACAATAACCTATTATTAGCTGAGCGTAACTCCAGGATTTTAAAGATCCCCTTTTCAGACAAGAGAATGCAAATGCCCCAGGAACACATGGTAACTGGATACTCCTTGGAACCAGATTCCATATTCTGATAAGTGACTCCAGAGAACCCACCATAACTATAATGTAACAACTGCTCTGGGGCTTTCCTCGTGGAGAGGGGCTCCCAGCTGGTGGCCTGCACGCTCTCAACTCGGGGGACGGCTGGCTGCAGGTGGGTGCGCAAAAGGCAGGCCACTTATTTAGATGGGATTGGCCTGGTGGGGATCCCTGCAGGGAAGCTCCGCTTCCAGGGAACCTGACCCACCAAAAGCAGCCCGAAGAACCAGGGGAGGGCAGCCAGAGGTGACTCGAGCTCCAGCTCGGGGCTTAAGACCAAGATCAGCTCTAGGTATCAGGTAGAAGTCTCCCCCCACTCGCCCCCATAGATCAGCCCTGCGCAGGGCTGGGTATATGAGAAGAGAAAAGGGGGACAGGGCACAGAAACCGACCGCCAAGCACCTGCACCTGGGCTCCCGCTCCGATCCTCACCTGCCTTCAGCCCACCGACTCTAACCGCGTCCCCAGGAGGCCTGCTGAGAAGCGACGTGTTCAGGGGACGCAGGAGATAACACACGGTGCCTGGCCGGGGGCATCTGGGTGGGCGGTGGCGGCAGCGGGTGCGGGGGACGCACTGCGTGCGCGCGGGGAGGAGACAGGCTCAGGGGAGACTCCAGCGGCACGCCTCGTAGTTCCCGGTGCCCCAGGCCCCCGCATCTAAGATGGGGGTTCTTAGGGGTGGACGGAGGGAAGGCCTAGGAAGGAAGCACAGCCGAGAAGCAAGGAGAAATGCAGGCTCCGGGTGGAAATGCGAGAGAGTTTCGGTAGCTATTGTCTTTTTTTTTTTCTCTTCTGAAATCTCGTAAGAAAAGCACCCAGAGAGGTGTAAAAAGG